TGCTCCTGCTCCTGCTCCTGCTGCTGCTGCTGCCGCTACTGCTACTGCCCTCTGCTACAGCTACTGCTACTGCAGTTTTGCTGCTACTGCTGCTGCTGCTGCCGCTACTGCTACTGCCCTCTGCTACAGCTACTGCTACTGCAGTGTTGCTGCTACTGCTGCTCCTGCTGCTGCTGCTGCTGCTACTGCTCCAGCTGCTACAACAACTACTACTACAACGACGAAAACCACTAGTACGACGACGACTACTACCACACCACAGCAATACCAACTGCTTGAATTTGTCAATTCGCAATGGGCTCTAGCCACCATCCTTAACTCGGATAGCTGCACCAGGTGTTGATTGGAATGGCCTTTGGAACGACGCTTGGACATGGTCACACAGTGCCAGAGACAAGTTGTTGTGAAGGTTTATGCGTTCTTGTGTGGCTCTCGGGTCTGGTTCGTATCTTCGTTCGCATCTTGCACAAAGATCTCAGCAAGCATAAACTCGCCTGACTCAATTACGTCCCTTCTGATGTCCCCAGCACGGCCGGCACCGGAGCCAAGCAAGCGCAGTGAGGATGCTCATTCCGTACCCGAACCAAGGAGGCATTGCTACCGGCGCTGGCGACGGGGGCGGCGACGTGCTTCGCTGTCTGGTGAGGCACGCTGCCGGCACACCCATGTCCAAGGGAGCCATATTTATGTATACATGTATGGTTATATATATATATATATACATACAGAGACATTCGCGTGTATGTGTATAAATGTATGTAGGTCATGTAGGTAGGTATGTTCATATGGATATCTTCATATCTGCATACATACATATATATATATATATATACACACAAAATTTTAACACACCAGTTTACAGTACAGTTAAATCAACGCAAGGAAGTTGTGCAACATTGTCATGCTGGGTAGCGGCCCGCGTTGCCGTTCCCCTGTACATCGGAATATGTTCCACGTGGTAGCAGTTCAACTAATCAGCATCCATGTTCATGTCTTTTTCACAGGTGGAGCTCACCCACCTTCCGCAACGCTTCAAGAAGAGCTCCCAGACAGTCTGACCTGGCGGGCAAAAGTGCGGTGACATGGGGTTCCCTGATTACTGCGCAAGACTTGGATACATGTGGATAGATGCGCTGCAGTGACCGATGCGCGACATCTGTTGTCATGTGGATGCAGAGCACATGATCAACAGGGAACGCATAAACAGGTCAAGCAAGGGGGTTCGGTTGAAGGAGTACGCCCTACCCAATAAAGTGCTTACGACGTACCTCCATTCCAGCCGCGCGCGCATAGCTCTGCGGTTCATGTCCATAATTCTCACAATCCATACGAGCTTTCCAGCTCAGGCGTTAATGCTACTGCCTGCATACTGGTTCGGAGTCTCGAAACAAGCATAAAGGGGGCGTTGAAGCGCGCAAAGCTCCTCCAGAGACCCATCAAGCCAGAAACACAGCGGCGAAAGGACTTGGCGAAGGAACGCCAGCGGGCCATGGCTATGCCCGAACCGGTAGGGTTCCCAGTCGGCTGCATGAGAGTCTGTTCTGGGTAGCAGTATTGTCCAGTTCAAAAAGATTCTGATGTTCACACCTAAGGCCCCCGGCTACAACGGACCGCGCTACGCACAGGCTGCTCTTCGTAGGAACGCCGGAACGAATCGAAGACGGCGAGCATCCGCATCCTCGGCCGTTACACAACTATGTGAAGGGCTGAGCTCTTGTGCCAGGCAAGCGATGTCAACGATGCGTGGCTCCAGAGGCTTGCTCCGCTTGTGCTGCAAAGTCTTAGTCCTGGGTTCTTGGGCTCGGGGAGCTCCGACGTACAGATCGAAGATCGAAGCTTGAGGAACTACCGCCAGCCGCCAGAAATGGCTTCGCAATGTATTGGTGTGAGCCGATAAGAACATGCTAGTGAGATAGGGGAGTAGCTTTGATAACTACACGTACACTTATCTTTCATAGTTATGCTATATATATATAACTTTGCTCCCGCAAATCCGTGTCCCCATTTCAGACCTCTGTGTTGGTGTAGTTGCTTTTCGATTTAGGTGCAACAGACGGACGCCTGACACATCACGATGCCTTGCATATCCACCTATCATTTTTGTGTTTTCTACTTGTCGGATCTCCGTAGACTTGTCTGGAACTACTGTGCTGAGGTGTGCAAAGTAGTTCTGTGGTCAGAGCGAACAGCTGAAGGCTCCTGCAGTGCCAGCAGCAGGGACAGCTCCTTCCCAAGAAGGACACCCATACGGCTTCTCGGATACTGATACACGTGTATGTTCGTGTGATATTGCTAGCAAGGAACAAACGGAACACACCAGGAGAGCAGCTGTCATGACGGTTTTCACATCTGCCTGCAACAAACTAATACATTAAAGCCATTGGCGCCACAGCCTGAGGTCTGGATGAGTTTGTGCGCACGTTTACAAGCAACATGATGCCGATGATTACTTGAGACTTGCCGTCTGTTGACGCCCTTTTTGTCGTCCCACATCGCGACATGTGTCAACTCATCCAGAGATCTGGGATGCATCGGGTAGGCCAAGAGGCCTTGCACTTAAAGACCATGAAACCTCGCCGGGCAGATCTTGAGATTATGTGCTTTCCGATTCTTGTGAGTGCAAGAGAGGCCTGTTCCCCTGAGCATGTCTGACAACGGAGCTTGGAGAGTCCAAGAAGCCAAAGTAGAGCATGTGCTGAGCACCGTGCTTACATGCAATGTGACATCCATAGGTGCATTGCACAGTGCTGAGCTGGATGAGCCAGTTGCCAGTTACAGCCAGCACTGCAGCAGTTTGGGCTGCGCACTATGAGGCCGCAGACGACCAGCTGCAACTCCAACGCCCGAGAAAACGTTGTCCTCGCGCAGTAGTCAGACGTCCGGATCTAACGCGCCCGCGACACGCAGGCGCAGCCGCCCACATCCCGGGTTTGCCCGAATAAGAATCCCAAGCAAGTGCTTCTGCTGACCGGAGGACGCATATCTGCTTGTGTTGGATGTGATCCGACAGCTCAAGAGCGAGCAGACCCTGGGCCGGATCCAGGTGTCGGACTCAGGGTTGCACTTTCACGATACCTACCCGACTGTCTCCTCTTTGTTGCTTCCTTGTTGCACTTGCTGTTTTTGGTCATCATGAAAATACCATATGCTTCCTTATTATGCATTTTCTCCTTCTCATCCGGACTGCTCCGTCACCAGCATGGTTGTTCTGCTCACCAAGGTGAATCCGGGCCAGAAGGTCACGGTGTTCGGGGACATCCACGGCCAGTATTTCGACTTCATGAACATGCTGAGCCAGGGGCCTGGGAAGTTCGCCATCGACAGATACGCACGTGTATGCATCGGGTGTAAGCATAAGGCATGTAGCAGGAACATGTTTCGGTTCGTGTAGACGTGGTACATTCTCGCTTGATTTGTTATCGGTATGAACAATATATCTCATGTGTCTGCATCCATGCATGTAAGTATTTATGCACCTGTGCACGCATGCATGGACGGATCGACGAATGGATCGACGAACGAACGGATGGATGGGATGGATGGGATGGATGGATGAGATGTATGTGCGGGATGTACGTACGGCATGGATGTATAATGTATGTTACCTGTATGTAGGTGTATGTATGTATGTATGTATGTATGTATGTGTATGTATGTGTATGTATGTGTAAGTGTATGTATGCGTATGTATATGCACATATGTGTATGCATGTTTATGTATGTGTATGTGTCTGTATGTACGGGTATGTATTTGTATGTATGTGTATGCATGTGTATGTATGTGTATGTATGTGTATGTATGTTCATGTATGTGTATGTATGTGCATGTATGTATGCATGTATGTATGTGCCTGTACGTATGCATGTATGTGTGTATGTATGTCTTCATGTATGTGGGTCTGACTATCGGCAGCTGGTTGCCTGTTGAGCCTCCTCACTTGTAACAGCAAAATCTGTTCCGTTTGTACAGCATGTTGCACCTGAGTAGCCACGTCCCATGTGCATCGGCTTCATCGTTGATCGCCCGCGAGTCTTCCTCAGACGGTCTCTTGCACTTCTGATTGCATCAATGTTCAGCAGCTTCAGGCATGACCGGCATGCCTTCGGTCAATACGTTCGGAGCCCGGTGCTGGTTCGTGTCATTTCCAATTATTCGACGCGCGGTTCCTGCATTCTCCTGGAATACTACGCGTTGATACTCGCTCTTGACGCTGCACGCAGGCTGCTGGCACTCGACGACCCATGTACTGACAAGCAGTGAGGCCCCATTGAGGCCACCCAAAGGCATATCCGGAACACTGAACATGTCGCCAGAAGGAACCCAGAAGCCCGGACTCCTGAAAGCGTTCGGTCAGAGTCTTTCTATTGGAGACACGAACCGTGCAAATTGTGAAGGCCTAGGCCCTAAACATTTCCGACGGCTGTTGCCAGTCAAGCACAAAGCGCCCGACAGAAGCCTTGCTATGCTGCAGACATCCTGCGAAACCCTTCAAACTGAAAAGCTCAGGCCCTTCCTCTTCAATGGGGACTTCGTTGACCGAGGCCAGTGCATCTGAGGTCACGGCAATCGAGAGAGGCCATCAATTTTCGACGACGGTCAGTGCGGGCGATGACATGTAGGCTTAGGAGGCTGGAGATCTTCAGCTAGGTTTGCTTTCTGTGCATTCCAGTCCAGTTTCTAGCAGAAACTATGCTTCTTTTGGGGGATGTTCGTCTAAAGACATTCTGCCGCGCCCTGAATATCTGGAGGATCCTGGTCCGTGGAGGTCATCACCATGATCTTTGCCATGAAGATGCAGAACCCGCCTCTTGGCTCTAAGCCTCCACTGCTCCAGAGAGAATCAGCTCTTGTCTGTGTCTGCGGGAGTTCGTATGATTTCGCGTATCAGTTAAAGGAGACGGGACTTTCACCAAAATTTGTCTTCGCCAGGAATGCCATCTTCATGAACCGCGGAAACCACGAGATGTTGGAGGCAGTCTGAAAGTTGTCTGTCTGGGAGAATGTGTGCACAGCCAGCTTCAGCAGCCTCGGAGAAACCATCGTGAGGTTTCACTATGTTTCGTTGAATATCAGTTCGCATCTTCGATGACTCGGGCGAAGCGTGAAGCTGCTGAACTCGCAGGATTCTTTGTGCACTTACGGACAGCATATCTCAGCAGGGTAAATAGGCATCTGAGCCGGAAAAGAGCTTTATGAAGTAGTTAGCATCAAAACCATCTTGTTCCTTCTTCAACAGAAAGAGAATGAGTTGCTGGGTGCTCTCGTGACTGGCTTTTCTCCGTTCGTCGTTACATGCTGTGGCTGGCCCATCGATACACGTCGATGCCGGCCGCAAGGCACTTGCCACTACGAAGTAGCAGCGTGCATGACAGCACACAGATTCTAGTGATTCTAGTGGCTGGCTTCGGCGTTAAGAGCAAGGCAATTCTTTTGTGGTTGTGCTAAAACTGCCAGTATCCGACACGGTGTGAGACACAAGTGACCCGCACTGGTCTTATGTGTGGTGCTCATTGTGCGGTTGTCTATTTGTGGGCATATTCGCTCCTCTATTCGCATCTTTCGTGTGAGTGTTGCCTCTGCCTAGATGCATGCAGCGTGAGTCTTGTGCGGAAGTTGCCACTGCAGGCCAACATGATCTACGGCTTCGCCGGTGAGGTCCGGCAGCTGACCCTGCGCATGTTTGCCGTTCGTGAAGTGTGTTGTGCTGTGGTGATAGGGGTGAAGCGACTTGGGATTTAATTTTAGAGTTTTGGGTTTTGTGCAAGTTCATCTCGTCACTATCCGTTGTGAAAACATGCCTCGACTCGGTATCCACTCCGTGGGACATACTTCAAACAGCATCTGAAAGGTGGGCAGCAAGTACGATCTGGACCTCTTCAACCTCTACTCAGAGTCCTTCCGAAACCTTCCCCTGCTTCACCTCGTTGCTCGGCTGCGAAGCACCGGGAAGTGGGCATTAGAGTTGAAGTAAGGTCTTTGCAGCCCTTGGACTGTTGGCACCGTTCGAAGTCCAAGTTTCAGGCTGGTGGCAGTGCTCATGACGAAGCTGCTGGTGGCAATGGAATGGTAATGGTGGTGATGACGATGTTGTTACTTATGATGTTGCGGGGATGATGGTCACAAGATGGGGAGGACTATGTACATGTTTGCCAGCCAGACCAGCATACCGTGAGTTTGTTTATGTTTATATGGGCTGTGGTCGACTTGCGAAGCGGCCCGTGTTTCTCAAGGTGAACAACCAAGTCCTGGTTGTCCACGCCGGCATCCCGGGCCCCCGGCCGCGCGTCTGGCTGCCTGGCCAGACCCACGACCCCGAGGCGCGACCGGGATGGGGGGAGCAGCAGAACCGCAGACATGAGAAGAACTCAAGGACGCCGTGCCGGTGAACCTCCAAGCGTGCACCTTGGCGGAGATCGCCTCGGTAGACCGCTGCTTGGACGCAGAGTGCCAGTGCCAGTGCTTTGGGGAAGGGTACTATTCAAATTAAGCGGTACGCTCATATAGGGTACGCTCATATAGGCAGGTTACCGGTGGTTGAAGCACCTGATAGGAATCGGGGCGGACTTGCCACTCCTGTGTCAAGGCCTTGCGCTGCTGAGAAACCCAACTGACTGCCGTTGTGGACTTTTCTTGTTGCTTGTAGTAGCTGTCAACAGGCCTTGAACGTTCGAGGCGGCTTCTGGTGATTCATTTCGAAAGGGCACGGGACGACTCAGCTCGTGTTCGCTGTGAACAGACATGAACTCTGTGACCAAGAACTGCAGCACACCTCCGCAATGCCACTGTGTATTCTGCACACACCTGAGATACTGCATGGCTTTACTTTTTCGGAAACCAGAGTCTGAAGCCTCCTTGCTTTCATAGCAGGTGGACATGAGTTGATTTGAGCGAGAATCTCGGTACTTAGCCCTTGAAGTCGGCAAGAGTTCTGCGCTTACGCTCTGTAGTTCGTCCTTCGGCCAAGGTTACACGGAGCTGACGCCCAATTCCTACAAGGCACGGCTGAACATTTCTATGTTCTTTGACTCTCTCTCTGTTTCTCTCCGTCTTTCTCTGCCTATCTGTCCATCTGTCTATCTATCTGTTTAGCTATCTGTCTAGATGGCTATCTACCCATCTGCCCATCTTACCCATCTGCCTATCTACCTATCTGCCTGTCCGTCTGTCCATTTATAGCTACCCGATGAATGCCAGGACGCAGTCGATGAGGCCCCGAGGAAGGAAGAGAAGTGGGAGACGGACACCCGCATGATCATCGACTTCCTGTGGCTCTGTAGCAGAGGGTGCTTCTTCCAGACGGAGAGTTGGACTGGCTCTTGGCTGGTGGTTTGTCAGTGGTGGTCTGTGGCCCGCGGCTGGTGGCTTTGGTGTTTGGTGGCTCTTGGCTAGTGTTTTGTGGCTCGTGGTTTATGGCTGGTGGCTGGCGGCTTGCTGGTGGCTCTTGGCTAATGGTGGTTAGCCACACCCTCCAGCCAAATACCCTCCACCAATTGCACTCAAGCCACACACCCCCTCCAGCCGCACGTGCTCCAGCTACACCTATCCAGAAGCCCCAAGCTAGATTGGTGGCTCGAGTGTCTGTGACAACCACGACCGTCGTGGATGGCATACAACCTAACGGCCAGGCTGATGACCGAACCGCAATGTGTCAGGGTTGTCGTAAGCAAGAAGGCGATATCACGCTTGTGCCATATACATGTGGTTCAGCAGCCCGCAATCAGAAAAATCAGTTGTCTTGGCTCTGGCCGTGTGTCATGGATGAACTTCGGCCAACGATTCCCAGCAGCACGCAATGGTGCACCTCTTCATCCGTGGACCGCCTGCTAAGGTGGTCTGACCCTCGAGGCGGCTCTGGCTATGGCCCTTCCTACCGCAAAAGCCGCGGTGTCTTCATGTTCGGCCCCGATGCTGCTCGCACGCACTGCAGTCTGTTGAGCACTGCTGTGTTGAATGGCGTATACTTTCACAGGTGCTGGCTGCTTTACGCCATGCAGGCTGACAGTATTGTGTTCTCTTACCATGTAGCGGAACATTTCTGATTCCGAGATGTGTTGATTTCTCAAACATGTGTGGAGCCCTTGCGGGGCTGATGTGTGTTCTTCTTTGCACACTTCCCGCAAAGAAATGGGCTTGCCTTTTTCAATCTCCCGCTGCTACTGCCCGAAATCCAGGCGTAGGCACCCTTTGATCAAAGGCCGTGAGCCAAATTCATCCTCTCAGGTGTCGGATCAGTTTGTTCGGGAAAACAACCTTAAGCTCGTGATCCGCTCGCACGAGGCCCTATCATCCTGCTGCTGTGGGGGTTCGGGGTTCAAGGGGCTGTTTCATGCCAGCCATGGACAGCATTCGATGCAAACTTGGGCCTTGTCTGCAGTGAGCTCAGTTGTGGCCAGGTCAAGGCAGAGGGCTACCTTAAGGACCGTGCACATCCCGTGCCTTCTCTCTCAGCATCTCGCTGCTTGCGACTCTTCAGCGCCCAGAGTGGATGCGGGTTTCGACAGACGAATCAGCTCATTTACTGTCGAGCCGGTTGAAGGATGCACAGAGGACTCCTATCTAGCTGAAGGTGGCTTTGACATAGGCCCGTGTTCAAGATTTGTCAAATCAGCGCAGCCGCATGCAGCCGCTGCTGAACAGACGGACCATGCAAGCGCCGGCCTTGCAGGACCATCCATCGTTGATGCAACTTGGCTGCATGTCTTCCGCTTGGGTTGTTTCCACGAAGTCAGCTTCAGGAGAAAGCTATCTCAGCTGACTTCCACCCACTGCCTTTGTCTGTAGCAAACATGAACCATTCTACACTTAAGCCTTAGCCTACCGCAGCACTTTCCTGGCTAGCCACGACCCCCATTCAAGCAACTCGACTTGACCTGAACACCTGGGATGTCAACTTGTAACATGGCTTCTCTCAAGTTCCTGCATCGTGTCTCATGGGCAAGAGCTTGAAGTGATCTGTCAAGGAGTGTGTTCAGCGCGCCGAATTACCTGGACACCGGAGGCAACAAGGTGGCGGCGACTGAGACTGTTGCTGAAACCACTGCTGCGAAGACGATTGTCTTCGCTACTACGACTCCGGTTGTACAAGCCTTAGTGCGAGTAGCAGCAGCATCAGTGGCAGTGGCAGGCCGTGGCGGTGACAGTGGCAGTGGCAGCATAGTGGTAGTGGTAGTGGTAGTGGTAGTGGTAGTGGTAGTAGTCGTAGTAGTAGTGGTACTACTACTACTACCACTACCAATAATTACTACTTGTAAGTACTCGCTACTCGTTATTCGCTACTCACCACTACCTACTCACCACTACCTACTAAGTACTAACTACTACTTACTAACTACTAATTTCTAATTCCTAATTACTAACTACTAACTACTAGCTACGAGTTACGAGCTGCGATCGACGAGCAGGAAAGCTACGAGCTACGAGCTGCGAACCGCGAACTACTACTACTACTACAACTACTACTACTACTTCTACCACTACTACTACTACTACTACTACTACTACTACTACTACTACTACTACTACCACGGCTACTACTGCTTCTACTACTTCTACTACAACTACTACCACTACTACGACTACTACTCCTGCTACTACTACTGCTACTACTACTACTACTACTACTACTTCTACCACTACTACTACTACTACTACTACTACTACTACTACTACTACTACTACTACTACTACTACTACTACTACTACCTAAGCTGGCTTGCGTCAACAACACTAAGCCAGCACAGACTACTACTACTACTTCTACTTCTACTTCTACTTCTACTTCTACTTCTACTTCTACTTCACTTCTACTACTACTACTACTACTACTACTACTACTACTACTACTACTACTACTACTACTACTACTACTACTACTACTACTACTACTACTACTACTACTATGACTTGGACGAGGACGACGGCTCATACTCCTGCTACACTGCTAAACTGCTACACTGCTACGCTGCTATACACTGCTGCTGCAACTGCTACCCCTACAACTGCTGCTGCAAGCGCTCGTCCTATCATGACTACCGTTATCGCACATACTCCTATCACTGTGAGGTGCATTGTTACCGAAAAGGTGCTCCCTTCCGGAGAGTACGCGGCGTGAAAGTTTGTCTTCATGTGAATCTGCTTGCCAGGGCGCCTTCCTGCAGCTTTCTCCGGGCCCGGATGGGAACCTCCAGGTGCGTTGTGCGCAATGTGCTTAGGGCGGCTGGCGGCATCCTCTGCGACAGCCGGCAGCAAGACCAAAGTTGCAGGTCACGCCAACCAGTTTCACTGCCGTGCCGCATCCGGACTTGCCACCGATGTACCATCAGGTCAGACGGTCAAGACTGCAGCAGGTCGCCAGTGTGAGATTGCATCAGCATCGGAAGAAGCGCTTTAGTTGGAAACAGTAGATCAATGTCGGGTTGCTTCCCTAGTTCTGGCTTCCCATAGCATCTGGCATTGCTGAAAGTGCAGCTGCCCCTGTTGTCCTCATTTAGCCCATGTCTCCTGCGGATGCACCCGCTAGAACTACATCGCGGAGAACCATCCTCACCTGACACGGCAGATGAAGAAGAAGCAGGCGCCGAAACTTTGAGTGTTTCGGGCTTTGCCGGTCGGCGTCCTTGGAAGTGTCCGGAAGACTTTGTGCTTGTCTCGCCGCACACCGCATCCCACCCAAGCCAATATCACAATTTGTCAAAGGGTTCAACTTCCGTACGTCTGTGCTGAAAAGACTGTACCGCAGCATCAGCAGCAGCTCGTCTCGTCCAAGCATTCGCTATATCCTGTCCTACTTGATCTGATCACAGAGCACGTGGTCTATTCCTCGCCGCGTAGGTATCGCCCTTGCAAGCCCCTTGCCCCCCCCACCCCCTTTCCCCTTCTTCCCCCACTCCCCCCCTAAAAACAAGATAATGCGCCTTGCCATCTGTGCAGGTGGCCCAGTCGGACGATTTCGGCGACAGCGACTTCGCAGGCTACCAGGCAACGGAGCTCACGCATCCTAACTTTACGTAGTTCCCACAGTGCCGTGCGCCGAGCTCACTCGTCCCAGCACCTAGTTTGCTTCATTCTGCTCTCTTGGGACAATTACTGCAGCTCCCGTTTTCAACCATGCAACTTTGTGCCGAAACCCCCAGATCACAAACCCTATTCCGAGTCTCGGACCTTTAATTCGGGAGTTTCCAGGATAGACGTTGGAGTTGGGAGTCTACAGGGTATTTGTACGGAGATATCTCTTCCAAAGCTAAGTCCTAGGCGAATCAAGACGCCCTCTCTTGTGTGCAGCAGCGACTGCTGAACAGTGTCAGGGACCCGACGAGTGGGAGGAGGTCGATGCTGGAGCCAGCCTGAACGCAAGGTAGTGTAGTGACCCAGAGCTCCAAACCCGCAGCCCGACTCATCCCGTGTCAATTGCTTTGAAGACTCAGCTCCCACAGGGACACCAGACAGAAGAGCGAAGAGCCAAGCAAGTCTGTGCGATGGCCTTCAATTCCAGATGCAGTTTTCCACTGTTGGCTGAGTCTGACTGGAGACTACATAGTAAAATAAGACATTCAAGGAAGTCTGAAGAAGAGCAGGTGAACCCACACAGAATTCTCGTGAGTAACGAGACATCCAGACACAGCCCATGCAGCTGCCGATCTTCCCGCAATGTGGGACGATCCCATTTTTGTCTGCAAGTTTTCCAGGAAGCTTGGTTGATGTGCGCTCGAGAAAGCTATTATAGTTTCTGTCCTATGGCGCTCTGTGCACCTTCTTCGCGAAGCTTTTGAATCAAACTCTGCAGGAGATACTCGCAACATCTGAATGTGCATCCCAATGTTGCCCCGAGAGTATGTAAAAGCTGAGACGTGGCATCTACTTGCGGTTCCCGCCCCCCCCAGGGTATTAGAAATCTATAGCCATGGTCCACGTACTTATCAGGTGCATGCGTTTGCATCTTCGTACGTAGGCACACAGATGCGCAGATAGGCTGAAGCAATTAGTTGCAAAATCACTCGCCGAGGTGACCGATGTGTGCACCATCACAAACACAAAGAGAGAGGCAGATAGACAAAGAAAGGGAGAAACCAAAGACAAAGACATGCTCAAGGAGGGAGGGAGGGACACACTTCTCGACGATTTTTGCACTCCCACAGCCATTGCCCACGGAGTATCGACTTCATCAATTCCGCTCTGACTCTGTGAACCGCACAAGCCATGCACTCACGCCGTTTTGCCTGAACGCATGCAATCAAAATGCTCATATCCACCCAATATAGCAACGATAGTAGCTCTACTCGTAGAATTAAGCAAGCTGTATCTGTTGTGAACATGTCTTAGAGCCGCTGGTCTGTGGTGGGCCTCCCTACGACGGTCACGAGGCCTTGCGTTTGTACATGCGCATTTCTCGTTTACAATCGATTGGCTCGCAGTGTCTTGTCAACTTGCAGCTGCCATTGACCAGAGTCACTTTCTCTAACTGCTTCGTCAGGCGCTTCATATGGTGGCAGATGTGGCAAAGCTGCAGGAGGCGGCACTTCGCGAGGCAAGATGCAGCTCATATTTTTGTGGTAAAACAGAAATCTTGGCCGCGACTCCTTTGACAATAAATACACCACGACTAACTTTGCATGCCTTGTGGAAAGAATGAACCTTTCTTTTCAGTCTATGCTGTAGCTGGATACAAGGCTCCAGGAAGGGTAGCATTGAAGAGTCCCGACATCATGGGAAGGCCGAAGTTGCGGGAAAGGATCATCGAGCCAAGAGGAGTCTCTTCTTCACCCGCCGGCTTTCATGCAGTTCCAAACGGTCCCAGCGGTCCCAGCCCTCCTGGGCTCAAGTCCTGGTGCCTTTTGCTATGCATTGCGGGCCGTGCGGGCCTATGCTGCCGGTGGGCCCCACCAAAGGCTTTTCACTTCCAATCAGAGATGGGAGCAGATGCTCAGATTATGTAGGCGCCCGCCAAATTTCCCAACCATCTCCGCCGACGTCCGGGCTTTGCACAAGTCTTTCAGTCTGGGGAAATACCAGGAGTGCGCCAGACTCTACGACAAGATCCTTGGAGACACGCCGGATGCAGTTCATCCAGCAGTCCTGGCGTTTCGCTTGTCAGATTGTCGACTGTTGACCTTGTGGTGTAATGTACTTACAAGAACAAAAACCGTTTGTGTCCTCTGATCTGGGAACCTCAGCCAAGGAACTTGGCCTTAGAAGCTTCGGGCTGCTCCAACAAAAGCAGCGGGTGCAGGAGATATGGGGTGAGACTGACTCTTGGACTTACCAGATCGCAGCTTCTGCACTTCTGCAAAAGAGTGCCTCTCAATTCTTGCATGGTATGTGCAATCTCTAAAGCTGGAAAGTTGAGCGAACACCTGCACAGGAAAAGAGAAATCTTCGCGACAATGAGATGTTCTTTGCCATGCTCTGTGCCCTGGCCGACCTCGGTGATGTTGAAGGCGCTGCTCAGCTCGTGCAGCTAATGCTCGAGAAGAAGCAGGAGCGGGTCGAGGCATTCTGGTTCCAATTTTCGCCATTCATAGGACCATCGATGTCAGACACCGTGCCTCTTGCACAGACCAAACCAGTCCCCGCAGGAAATCAATGAACATATTCTTGGCTCTGCCATCGACGCCTGCAAGAACCGAGAGCCTCCCAGCGCTTCGGCGGCTCGATGCTTCTTCCAGGTCCTCGTGCATGAGCCGCTCGGGCTTCAGGATATCGGACTCTCACGTCTTCGGCACATCGCCTCGTAATCATGGTTGAACTGGTTCTTAGTTCGTCGTCGCATTTGAGCAGTTTCTTCAGGTCAGTAAAGCACAATCAGCCAACATTTTGAATGCTTAGGCTTGTTCTGTGTCTACTGCTGCAGGTTCAAGGTGTGGATCAAAGCAAGACTTCCCGAGCTGATACAGCACTTTGATGTCCCAACCTTATTGCCGATGGGTGAGCTTACTCTTTCTGCCCGAGACTAAGCGGGTGTGTGATTACACGGATTATTATAGGGGGATTAACCCCCGAACAGAGAGTACCCTGGAACACTTTTGGTGTTGCAGGTTTGCGAAAATCAGGTCAGGTTAGGTTTATCAGAAAAGCTTCGGCCGTGAATCTCTGAAGACGTGTAGAGCATGGGCCGAGGAGAGGCGTCCAGCCCAGCATTGTGGCCTTCACGAACCTTGTAGCAGCCCACCGACGCGCGCCCATTGCACAGCTGACGACGGTCTACCAACAGGTAGGGGTGAAGAAAGGCTTGCAGGAGGTAGCAGTCAGTAATTCTCCGCGCAGACACGTGAGCTAAGCCCGCTCAGTGGCAAACTCCCTACAGATGACTCAAGAATTTGGTCTGCTTCCGAACCTGGTGTTCGCGGAGACATACCTCGGCTGCGTGCTGCTCCTGGGTGACAAGTTCCAGAACGCGCGCAATGTGGAGGAGGCGCTTACGCCAGAAGTTGAACTTTGTAAATCCTGCCTTGGAGCTGGGCTTGATCAGCGCTATACGATTAGAATGATTCCTCAGCTTGAAGAATTAGCAGGCTATGTCCCAGAAGCCCCCAACTTAAGCCTGATCCAGAAACGACACTTGAAGCCGACACGAGCATTGAGGTCGCCGATCGGCTGGCCGGGGCGGCCCTCCAGCATTTGTTTGGGTTGAAGCCTGTTTATGTTCATATCTCATTGGACAAAAGCATTAGGGCATTGCGTTCTCTGTGTAAGTCCCCAGTCCCCGGCCTTGGTCGCAGGTGGCTCAGAGCCGCCAGGAAGCCGCACGAGCCGCTCTCCGCGATTTCCGGGCAGCGGGCTTGCGGCTTTCGAGGCTCTGCAAAATCATCGAGAAGTACTTGTCCAAAGTTAGCCGAGCAAACATGGCGCGAGAAGACAGCATCAAAAAGGAAGTGCTGGATGCCCTTCACATTCAGATGGTTGGTCGTCGCAGGACATGTGCTTGTCCGTGGTTTCAGGATCACGAGGCATGCCAGCAACGTCCTGAAGCCGCAAAGCCAGACCGGTGGATGTAGACTTTAAACGCAAACACGCTCGGTCACGGCTGCAATAGGTCTCAGTAGATATACTGGTGGACCGTACCGTGAACCCAAACCATGAGATCTGAGGAGCCCCGCAAACGGTCTTATCCTATAGAAATCTTAAACCAAATCCCACCATCCGACAAGCTTAAATCTATGGTTTAAATCTGGCTCTGCACCTACTTCTGTACCGAATGCTCAACCCCTAACCCTGACCTCCAACAAATGGTTCATAAACCGTAAACTGAATCCAAGAATCCCTCGCCGTTTGTGCCCCTTAGTCTTGCAGGTTATCTGGCGGCTCGGTGGTTCTGCGCGCCGTCTAGAAAGGGCCTTTGCTGGGCCGCTGGGTGCCAAGCCCTTCCATGCAGTGATGTGGGATGCCTTCTGGTCGCGATATGGTAGCATGGACTTATTGCATGTCGAAGCGTTGCTGACCACGCTTTTCTGTCTATGGCTGAAGATCGTGCTAAGGAATTCGCCGATGCCTTAAAATGCCGTGACTGTGAAGTAGCCTTGGCAAAAGAGGATCATCGCAGCAGCTGCTGCTGCTGCTGCTGCCGCTGCTGGAGCGTCATCAGCGACAGGATCTCTAGAGGATGATGTTAGCAGAAACCTTTCTCTGACATAGTCTGAGTCTATGTCGCCTGCATGATGCAAAAAGTGCCTACGCCCGCATAGTGTCCGCATATAGTCGGTGAAAGTAGTTCGAGAATAACCTGTAAGTTGAACGCGCTTAGGAAGGAGACACGACTGCCCACCATGTCGAGGCGGCGAGGGCTTGTGTCCCGCAGAGACTTTGAGCATGGCCTAAGCGAGCCTGGCACCCGGATCCTTGGGCGTAGCAGGTGCTTTTGGGCTTAGCCCCTGCATGACCAGCTTCGGGTAACTTTGTGTTGGGGTTTCAGAGGTTTTGTGGAATGTGGGGTTTTCTTTCGTGGGTCAGCAGGTGCCCGATCGGGAGAGTGAGTTCGCAGGTTGGGCCTCAGCGCGGACGATCTGGAAGGCACCCACAAGCGCTCCAGAATTCAGAGTTCATACAGTTTACAGGCCCCATTCGTGGTCATGATTTGTGGGTTTCGGAAAAGTAACCCATACAAAGCGAGTTCTTCCCCGTGCTTCCGGCAGGCCTGGGCTACGTGGACTCCCGTCATGCGTTCTCTTCGTTGGACCATTCATCGCAGAAGCCTTGGTCGAGCTGTGTCACAGCCATGTAAGAGAACCAGAGCATGCCTCTTACTGCAATTGGCAAGCGTTTGCCGGCGCAGGCGAGGCACTCTGCTTCTCGAGGCGATTGCTTCATGTGTGTGTGGGGTGTTTTTAGGGAGAGCATGGTGCAGCACCAGGCGAATCTCGTCTCCAGAGCTCCAAGCTAGTGTCCGTGGTGTCTACAGGCATGTGGTTTCCAAACTACCAGTCATGATAACGACAGCTGAAAGCTATCATGTGAAGAAGCACAGCCACAGCTCTCATGTGGGCTTCACACTCCTCCGTGAAGCACGCAGTTGTCCAGGAGCTGACGCGGAAGCCAATCGCCAGAAGACACAGGTCGGATCACCAGACATTTTCTCGACTGGAATACGCGTTTTAAATTGAAGCAATGGCCATAACTGAAGGCAGCTGACAGCTGTGGAACGAGCGACGACTTGAGGACTGTCTTGTGGCCTTCACTCTGGAACCGTAGCGTCTTGCAACACTGCTGACTGAAAACTGAGATGTGGAAGTGGGAGACATGCAGATTGCCAGGCTATCATCGGCAACATCCGCCACCTCACGTGCTCTGAGGCCATCCTGAAGCTGGCCATACACCGCCCAAGCCATTGTATGGAGGTTGCAGACCATCCGCGAAGTAGCTCGATCGTCCCCGAATGATTAGGTTCGCGGTTTGCGTCCTTGCCTGGATTTGGATGCCCAAAGCGACGACTCTTTAGGACATGTTTCCAAAGTGGCAGATCGCACGATCTGATAGTACTTGTGATATCTTGTGATACTCATTGAGTTCTTAGGAACTATCTGACCCTAGAACCTCTCACTCATGCTTAGCCCTCAACATTCACTACCCTGAGCTCACTGGGCTGCCCAAGTGCCAAGGGCGGCACGTCCTACCAGTAGCATCCTCTGTGCCCTCGAATCTTCTCCCAGTGAGAGGCGAAGCACCTCTGTTGACAGCCTCTCATCTACGGAGACTTACGGCGGTTGGGCCCCGGGAAGTGCGAGCTGAGAGCTTGAGAAGAGATCCAGCATTTTTGTAGTGGGACCTCATGGGTGTGGGCTTCGACACAAAGGCTCGTCGGGCCTTGGGGTGTTAGAAGTACTGGTAAGCATCAGGATCCGACAGCTTAGCACCCAAAGCTTTACCCCCACACGAGGCGTTTAGAGACCCTCCGATGACTTAGAGTGGTCTTGAGGGCGGATTCAAGACCACAAGTTCCTACAAGCACTCCGTTGTCAGCAGAAGTGCCAGACTTCAGGTTTGGGCCTCGACTCTGCTCGCCTTCGTGAGGCTCCTCTTCGCGACTGGGATGTTCGGTTCAGGGCTTCGGATCGGGGCTGCCGGTTCTGCGTCAGGACAGAGACTTTGCAGCTTTGGAGAGTCATTCTCACGTAGTACTGCCCACCCCCATGTCGTGCCTTGATCTGGCTGCTTGAGAAAAGGCAGACCTTGAGGTTCACGCAGGTTTAGATTGATGACTTCCCAGACCTCCCTTCAAGTTTCAAGTTCTTGCATGCAGCAGTTTTGGTTCCGTGGTATCCGTTACTGTGGCATGAGGACGACAGCAGCAACATGCACCTACGCAGTCACTACCACATCATGAGCAAATGTGAATGAATGCCTGCAGTGTCGCGAGCAAGGCAAAAATTAGAGCACACCTCTCAAGAGATCGTGAGACATGTTGAGCAACAAGAGACCAGTCCAACCGCCACTCCTCTAACCCACAGCAGCCCCTTAAAGGCAGCTATGAGGCCGAACAAATTCAGCAAGCAGCGACCACTTCGCTCTGCAGCATGGCGTCTGGACAACCGCAGCCGCGAGCGAAGCGGTCTGAGACTCCGGTTCACGTTCTTTGGCTGATGTGGCCCATGGATGGATGTAAGCGAAACTGAGACCCTACACTCTAGAGGACATCCGACATTAGTGCGTTCTCTGAGGTTCCGTACCAGTGCCGTCGAATAAGCGTTCGGGACAGTCCTGGCATCAGCGAAGTTTTGATCGGAGCCAAGTGGAGGGTGTCCCCATGAGGTACCTGTACACACATAAACAAGTAAGTACAGTATGTATTACATACAGGTTCGGTAACCGTTTGATAGTTGCTTATGCTACAGACCCTCGTAGGGACGGACCACATCATGGGACCACAACGATACGTTCTCCGGCACAGGATAGCAAGAAGGATGATGATGCGAATGCGCAGCCTGAAGCTGCAAGCGAGGCCAAGCGGCTTGTGCAGAAGTTTTTGCGTTGTGAGCTTCAAACTGCGTTCAAGACCGATCATGGGAGGCAGGAGTCAGTGAGTGTGAGGCTCCAACCATTTAGCCTTGTTTCTGGGGTGGCAGCCGCCTTGTGTGCGTGATCAATGTGGGTTATCTAAGTTGCCTAGCTAGCGGTTCTGGAACGCACCAGTCTAAAAAATGCTGATCCATGCTCAGCTAGCCGGGCTTGTCGAGGACTCGCCAGATAAGAGCAAAGCAAAGAAGGAAAAGAAGAAGCCAGCGGGCAAGGCGGACCTGCTTTCTGCCACATTTTTCTGATGTTCGGGCCATTGGTGAACTCAGGAGCAGAGCTTGCTGCGAGAACATGCTGCCGATACGACATATTCTGATTTGGCTTGCAAACCCAAACGTATCTGATGCCGTTTCTCGAGGGTTTGCTGGGCGGAGCCGCCGAGATCGTGCCTGTGCTGATCCTGGGCTTCTCGTCAAATTTTATTCGACACCTGCCTTCATCCGATTCCTAAACGACAGACAAAGCGTTTCTGTTGGAAAGGCAGGCTACCTGAACATAATTCGTCAATCCAGCTGTGTAGTTAGTATTGATATAGGTATATCGATGGACTTCAGTCCTTCGGACCTCCCATAGACTTCTGGATTGCGAACTCGGAGTAGCTCTGCCGATGCGAACGATCTGGGAATCGTCCGGCTGAAAGTCAGTGGCTCTGCCCATACGAGGAAGCAGGTGCAATGCTGAAAACATATCCGAGTCTGCAAAACGGAACATACCCTGATGACGAGGCTATTTTTCGTATGCCGGAGGCCCAGCCCGTGCAGATTTCGTGGCACCCTGCGAACTGGTGGTGCTGCCACGCAGTGGTTTTGCCACAGTCAGCGTTCATGTCATGTGAGTTGCTGAAGCAATGTCCGACCCCCGAGCAGCATTTGGTGTGGCATCGTAGTCAGTATAGTCCATGACATCGCTTAGTCGGAATCGCAAAAAATCCATCCCCCTCAGTTTTCTGTGGATGTTGCCACAAGGTCGGCAAGAATCTCTACGGCATGCTCTATCCCACTTTTCCGGATCGGATTGCAGCCCGTGCTTGCAGTTGCTGCTGCGAATAGTAGAAGGAGTATAGGACTACCACGAGATGTTTCTGGTGAGTTTGATTTGAGCAGGGCCGTATCCGTGCTATGTATTGCATGGGCGTATTGCTTGTCGCAACATTTCATCTGCAAGTGTGTCAGAATTCGCGAGAGGTTGCGAGCTCCGGTTTTACGCAGAAACGAACAGTCCGTGAAACAGGACTTCGATGCAAATCACAACTATCTGCAGAAGTACCAGAACAGGACAGAGGGTTCAACTAGACACGCATGACTCGGTATGCCGTTTCTGGGAATACTTTGCACATGACCTGATTCAACGAAAGTTTTCCAAACCATAGAAGCGAAGGATAGAACGCGGAGAGTTTCTCACCCTCAACGTCTTCATCAAGGAGAGCAAGCCGTCCGACTGCAGTTTCTGCTGTCGTCCCTTGAACCGTCGAACTTGGCTCGTCATGAACAGAGGCTGTCTGTATCAGGTCACAGCCGACGGTGCCACGAGATGCAAAGCCCGACTGGACCGTGCGTTTCCCTTACGACGACGAGGACGGAGCTCTTGAGCCGGCCGCAAAGGATTCTGCTCCGAACAGGACTTGCTGGTCTCGTGGCAGGTTCGCATCTAGTGATAGCAGTTACGTCTACGTCATTAAGAGTGCCCTTCTCATCTGGTACGGCCTCAGACTCGTTGTGAGGACTTTGAACCTTCATCGACTTCGATTCCCGTCAATGTCACAGACAAGATGCTAACCAAGAAGAGGCCTGGCCCTCAGCTTCTCTCGTTGGTCGCTTGCCATCTGGCACGGATATGTAGTTGAGTGTAGCTTCTGCCCCGATTTTTTTTCCATCGTTTCCTGGCGCTGAGGAACGTCTGGGTGACTGCCCGCCTCCTGACCGAGCGAGGCACCATCTTTCTGGAAGCAGTTCAGGCTAATCTCAAAGCCATCAAGGCTAGACTTGGATTGAAGGAGGGATGGAGAGGGGGTGAGATGCTTTTACTTACACTGAGCCTTCATACTACGGGACTCACGCTAGCGCTCCGCACCGAAGAGCTGTGATTCTGTGCTGAAACAAAGAAGTTCAGCGATCGAAGCTGCCCCAAGCCGATGCTGCCTCGACTCCAGAATCTTGCAGCAAGGTGACAGAATAGCAGAAGCCCACGGCGGTGTCGTCAAGCACCGGGGCTATGCAGAGTTTTCAGCACAGGAGGCTTTCTGAGGTCGCCGCTGTGGCTTTAAGCTTTGTGGAGTCTCGCATGAGATCTGAACACCAACAGGCGCCAAGAATCGGTTTTAGGAGGGCTGCCAATGAAAGGTATGACAAGATGAAGGAAGAGACCACCAAGTATTGGCTGCTTTCAGGCGCCTGTGCTTTTGCCGAACACCTGGAGCAGATTCCTGCAGCATCGAGCATCGAAGCACCCAGGGTCCCGGCGCCTGAAATAGCTAAAGATCCCTACACCGGGTATGTACTTGGCATCTCCTGCACATCGCAATTCAATTCGCTGCCACAGAGAAGCTGAGCAGGAGAAATCTGCGAAGACAGCACGGAGAGGCTTCGGGTCCAGGCTTCTTGGGGCTTCCTGAGACCTTCATCCCTGTGCGTGCAGGAAATATGGCTCTTCGAAGGAGCCCCTCACAGCCCGGGGCATTCCGAAGATGCAGGCTGGAAGCTCGGGCTGTGCAGACTGTTTTCAAGACGAAAGTCACAGTCTGATCGTCAGACTTTGCCTGCCTTCCGGGGCCACCTTGACCCTGGTGCCCCGTAATTGGCCCGTGAAGCCGAACATTTTCATGAATTGTGACATGAACGCCTCTAAACGCTACATGCTTGCTCTAATTGCTAGGGCTCGCGACTCGTGACTGCGAGGTCCGACTGGTTTACGATCGCACGCACTATCCGCGGCCCTGGAAGTACGACCACTACTACCCTACAATGCGACCTTGGCTTTGAAGGGCGTGCCAAGTAGGCCTGGGAGGCGGTGCCAGGAAGAGCCTGTCCAAGGTATGTGGATGAGTTCTGGATGACCAACGACCAGCTCATTAAGTTCAAGACCAGCGGGGACGACAATTTTACCACAGCACCTCTTTCTGAAAAGTATTGGGGCCAACGCCGTAATGCTTGCCAGTGTTGTGTCCGTGGGCCACGGCTCAGCTTGTATTGTTGGGCAGGGGGCAGTGCCCAGCACTGGCTGCAAGCTCCCTTCAACTTCCCGCCTGCACATCATCCCCGCGGCCTACTTTTCAATCGCCCATGCCCGGACTCCACCCACCGGTCATGGCTCCTAGACTCCCAGACCGAATCCTGCTGAGGAGATCCACTTCGGCCTGATGTCCGCAGCACGATGGCGATTTCAGCACACGCCGCCCGACGGAGTTGTTCGAAATAACATTGCTTGTGGTCGGCTTTCGCAGGCTAGGGACCTGGCTAAGCTTGAGTTTTGCTGTCGAGCCTTGTGCACTTCGAAGGATGGAACACAGCATCAAGCAGATGACGCAGCAGTACTTCTCTGGTGAAGATGATGAGGCCATAGTCCAAATGCGGGATCTGACGCTCGGCAACACTGTTGTGTTTGCAGAAGACATGCCCCAGATCCCCAAGGCTGCGGTCATATCTTGCTGAATTCTTGCATGTACGTTCAGGTTTGCTAACACAAATTCCTATCTGCTAATTGCCACCATGGTGGTGTCTGTTCTGCATATGATCTTCGAGTACCTCGCGTTGAAGAACGATGCAGCCTGGCAGCATGTGGCGCCTGGAGATCAAGTGCACGTGCGCTCCAAGTTGATTGTTGCTTGAAGTCTTCGTAGCACTCGCGGCCTACACAGCATCGTGCACTTTCTGAGGTGTTGTTTTGGCGGCGGACAGATGCTGAAACACTGAAGCGGTTTGTTTCGCTGCGAGCTGTCGGCTTGGAGATCGTCTGTACCTTGGTGGAAGAGAGTGCTGGTGGTCTTGGTCTAAGGTTGCCTT